GGAGGTGTTGTGTTGTGTTGTGTTGTGTTGTGCAGTCCATGGAAACGATCCAATCACTGCCTGCCCTTGCGTGCGTAAACAAACAAACAAAAGTAAGTGCCTTTTTGTGCGTCTCTCTCTGTGCATGTCTGTCTGTCTGTCTATGTGGATGTGACGGTGTGTGCGATCGAGGGAATTAGTGAGTCGGGTGCGGTGTCTTTATCTTATCCATGTGCGCCATCTATATATCCCTTGCTCCCTTGATTGATTGATGCACGCAGCCAAGGGCGCCAGATTGATGTCTAGTCTTGTTTTGTTTTGTCTTGTCGATACGATAGCCCCTCCCTCTCAATCTGCACGGCTCGGCGCCCTTAGTCAGTCCACTTTTGCATCTCTGCCCCATATATCGCAATGCACATACGGCCGGGCAGGGAAGGAGAGACAGACAGGTCATGTGTGTGTGGGTGGGTGGGGTGTGTCCAGCAAGGAGCTCTGGCCCCTGATGGCATCCATCCCATCAGGGAGGAGGACTTTTTGACCTAGCGAGAGAGGTGAAATGTAGCGGACGAGGGGTCGTTCCTTCTTTGGTCTTCAGCCCGTCAGCGACGCGACTCGAGGATAAACCTTCTCGACAATTGCGCCGCTGGCTGGCTGAAGAATGAAGAAGGAACGGACACAGAGCACGGCTTTCCCCGACTGCAGACAGACAGTCGAACTCTGCTATGGGTGTTGGTTGTACTGTGTTGCGTGTGGGGGTGGGGTAATGGATTGACAGAGCGAGCGGCCGGCCGGCTGGTTGTCTATTTGTCCGCTACTCCCCGCCCTGCCCTTTGCTATGTATGACATTGATTGATTGCCTGAGACGGGTCAGCCACCAACAGCCGGGGCGTGGATGTGTGTCTCTTCCTATGTGACTGACTGCGTCTGTGTATGTGTGTGTGGGTGGAGGGAGGTACGCTAGTCACAATGGTATGGGAAATGCCGCTGACAGACTTGTTGCTTGTCTGCCTGCCTGCCTGCCTGCCTGTCGATGTCAATGGCTATCTTCTCTCTCTTGCGCGCGCTGCACTATCCGAGCGAAGGTGTTGGTTTCTCACGTACGCAGCGAGCAGGAGCGAGGAGAGGAACCCATTCATTCAAGCTTTGTTGCAGCAAATCTGAGTCAAAGGCAAAGGAAGGCAAGACAAGCACCTAGCTATGGACACTCAGCCACCCATGCCCTGTACACACACACAGACAGACAGACAGACAGACACACGCCCACAGCCCACCGACCCATCCGCCCGCCCACCCACTCGGCAGCCATCGACCAGAGGTTGGTTAAGCCAGGAGCACAGCACTAGCAGCAAGAGGGCAAGAAGCAATGCAACGTAACGCATCAGCGAGCCGTTCCATGTCACCTACCTACCCACCCAGGCACTCTCACCCCTCTCTCTCTCTCTCTCGTCAACTGCCTGCACACGGGCGGGCATCGATCCATCCATCAGTTGGCCTCCCCATCTACGGGCAGCACGCCCCCAAGCGCACCGGGCTGCCTGCCCTTGACCAGCACCGACACCGTCGGCAGCTCTATCCTACCGCCCCTGGTGCTGCTTGACGACGTCGATGTCGATGTTGGTCTTGCAGCAGTGTTGCTGCTGCACTTGCCGCCGGTGCCCCGGAGTGCGGCGGGGAGGACGAGCCCCTCCTGGCTGTCGAGGCGCTGGTGCTGCCGCTGCCTCGTCCAGAAGAGGTAGCAGTTCTGCAACACCTGCACACGGGGGAGGGGGGCACGTCAGGACAAACACACACGCACGTGTGGGCGAGAGATAAGGGGCGGCGAGGGTGCGTGGGTGGGTGAGAGGATACCCCTTTGTTGAATGGGTTGACGTAGGCCTGCCGCCAGACCTTGCCCTGCTTGGTCTCAACCAGCACTGTCCGCCAGAAATGGGGGTAGCTGCACCACACACACTCATACAGACAGACAGACAGTGAGGGCACTCACTGGATGGATGGATGGATGCTGACTGGCTGACCGTGGGACATTGATCTGCTCGTTGGTGGTTCGGTTGCGTGCGATCCCTTCCAGCTGGTGGCAGATGAGCAGGAAGCACCACACTATCACCACCAGGTGCACCAGCATCAACTGAACAAGAGGCAGACAGACAGACAGATCACATACGCTCTCTGTGTCTGTCTGTCTGTGTGTTTGTCTGTGTGAGCGCACCCACCACTAGAAGTGCAGGGTGGTTGAGTGCGGTGAGCGCGAAGCTCCACAAGCTCCACTCGGTCTCCTGGATGCGCAGCAGGTGGCTCACAGCCCCACCACACAACGATATGTGCCACACCTGCAGACAGATAACACACAACAACACAACACACAACACGGCAGGGGGGGGAAGAGCAAATGAGCATGTCTGTGTCCGCGCATTGGTCTGTGTGTGGGGGTACGTTCATGATCCACTGGAAGAGGGCGAGTGCGACGAACTCTCTGTGGTTGCCGGCCCCCACAGAGTTGTGCACCCACACACAGTAGTGGTCGAATACCTCGATGCACGAATCCAACACCCTGCAATAGTCACACACACACACACACAGATCCACCACACACACAGATCCACACCGAGGGGTGGGTACATTCTCTGGCTGCGTCTGTTGGTGTGGTCTTGGTGCCTGCGTGCCTGCAGTGTTTGGTTCGCGGGCCTTTCATTATCCAGCACGTGTGGCATATCCGCGACAGGTCGAAGTCCGACACGCTCGTCGTGTCGGCGTCAAACGGCTCCTCCAACCTACGCATCACATCCTGCATCCACACAAACACACACACAAACATACGCACAGGACAACTTCGGGGGTGTGGGTGTGATAAACATGTTGACCTCTACGGCCGATTGTCCCTTGGGTCGTCTGGGGATGATGCCCGGGTCGCTGATGACGACGTGGCACCAGAGGGCCACCAGGAAGGGCAGCAGCACCTCCCACATCGTCGACGCCATCGGGTACAACAACATGACCGTCGGACGCACCTGATCCATCCATCCATCCACCCAAGACAAGATGACAAGTCTTCCCGCCTGTCTGTCTGTCTGACCTCGGCTTGCCACACGAAGAGGGCGTAGCAGATGGCGACCAGGTAGATGCACGGCGGCATCTTCTCGCTAATGCTCTCCTCCCAGTCGAAGCATATCTTGGTCAGCCGATTCTCCCACGGCCTGTCTGTGTGTGTCTTCCCTCTCTCCTCTCCCGCAGTCCCCCTGCTAAGGCCCTTCTCGATGTCCCCCTGCACCTCCAGCAGGGCCTCCCCCTTGCTGACCGTGCGGGCGCTCCTGCTGCGATGGCCGCTCTTCTTCTCACGCGCCTCTGCGACGCGCTTGAGTTCGCGCGCCAACACCGAGTTGCCCGATCCCTCTGCCAAATCTACTACCGACTGCCAAACGGACCACACACACACAGAGAGAGAGAGAGAGAACACCCTGGTCCATGGACTCTCTCTCTCTCTCTCTCTGTGTTGTGGATGGAATTGTGTGTTAAGTGTTGCGTACCAAGCCGCTGCTGCTGCTGGCTTTCTGCAGGTCGTATGCCTTGTCTTTTTCGGCGAGGTACATGGTGGCGTCGTACATGCCGGCCGACGCGGCCCGCTGGAGGGGCGTCATGCCCTGGCTGTCCACCGAACCGAAATCCGCTCCGAAATACTCCAACAGATGGATGAACTCAGTCGAACCCTGGCACACAGACACACCCCACACACACACACACACAGAGGGGTTTCAGAGAGCCGATAGCCGATGTCTGTCTGCATGGATCCTCAGACTCTTGTACAAGCATCTCGCTGACTCATGCACCTCGGTCGCTGACCTTGAAGGCGGCCCAGTGCGCCGCCCCGCAGCCGTTGAGGTCCTTGGTGTTGAGGCTGGCGTCCTTGCGGATGAGGAAGAGGAAGGCGTGTGCGCGGCCGTGCTGGATGGTCAGAGTGAGTGGCGAGGCGCCCAGGCTGTCCTGGCAGTCGATGTCGGCGCCCTTGCTGAGGAGGTACCTCATGAGTGCCACCCACCCCTTGATGGCCGCCCACATCAGGGGCGTCTGCCCGTTGGCCGACTTGGGGTCCACAGCAGCGCCCATGTCCACCAGCAGCTGGCAGAAGGCACTGCTGTTGCACAGAGCCGCCCAGTGGAGGAGCGTGTGGCCCTGCTTGTCCTTCTGGCTGATCAGGGATGGCCGATCTCTCACCAGACGCGTCAGCTCGCTGAAGTTGCCCGTCCTTGCCAGCATCCACACGTCCACGGGCGGTGGCTGTTGTGGCTGCGGTGGATAGGGTGATGTGTCTGTGTCATCGGCGCATCCGTTGAGGACATCGTTCTCGGGGATGGTCATCGTTGTCCGAGTGGACAGACGGGATACCGCCGATGGACTACACTCCTCACTCATGACACTTGCGCCCAGGGCTGTAGGGTTACAGAAACCCTAACCCTGCCGGGGCTTGCGATTGATCCCTCCCTTCCCTCCCGTATCCCAGTCACTCCACTGGGAACCACTTTCCGGTTGCACCTGGTTTTGGAATGGCTGCTGCAGCAGCACCTGCTGGTGCCGATGTGCCGATGTGCCGTTGCTTGAGAGAGACCTGGAGTCGCAGGAGGCGGCCGGCCCTGCTGCCCCGCCCGCCCCCTCCACACGCTTCCCCCCAGCCCCCTACAGCAGCAAATGGAACAGACTTGTCGGAGGACTGGCCGAGGAGGCGTACGAGCCCTACGAGCTGTCCAAGATTATCGGCTTCTGGGGCATCTTCAGAATCGTCGGGACCGTCTTTTGCAGTGTGCAGCTCTGGTGAGGGGGGGGGGGGGAG